ACAAACTTTCACGTTATGCAACAGCATACAACATATCCTATTCCCGTAGTCGCCACAACCCTCTTCAGCTTACCCCTAAAACCCTTCTCTCTCACCAAATTCTGAATACAGCCTGACTCGAACCCTTTTGACGAACCCAAACCCGAGCTCGAGCCCCAACTTAAACCCGCATCCAATCCAGAAATGCCACTTGTTGTGGAACTTTTGAACGGCTCTTCGGAACTTTCAGTCACAGCTCACCCCAAAATCTATGCGGCTTTGTTCGGGTCACCATTGATTTCGCGATACGCAGAAACGGCGTTATCGAGTGAAACCGAGGAGAATACCTCTATAAGTGCTCGGATCACCTTCTGGCCTTCGTCTTCTTTGGCGACTGGCTTCATATCTATCGAGCTCTTCTTCTTCCTTCTCCTCTTCGCGTGCTTCATCACTGCATATATAGCTAGGGTTTGATGTAACCAAGAGAATCGAAAATGATAATTATAATGATGAATAAAACCCTAGCGTGAGAATAGAATACGATTAGGGATAATTTTGTTTCCAAGAGTATTAGGGTTTCTGAGAGAGGTCGGTGTACCGGGGGAGGATCAGATCAAAAACCTTAAATTGGAGAGGTAGAGATGGGGCACAAATGGAGAATTAGAGAAGGGAGCTTGGCTAATTTGGGGATTTCTAAAAATAACAGGAGGAGAAGTGGAGAGAATGAGATAGTGAGTCGGGGAGGGGCGGATATGTGGGTGGGGTTTGTATGGCTTCAATGGTGGTTGGGTGGGGAGGTGGTCGGAGATGGGTCGAAGATGTGAGTTGGGTTTTCAAGTTCTGGGTAGAGAGAGGGAGGGAGATAGGAGGAGAGAAAGTGGGGAATTTTTTTTTTTCTATTTTTTAAAATCTAATTTAATAATATTTTTAAAGAGTTTTTTATTATATTTTTTTTTTTCTGAAATTGCCCTTTGTCTCGTCTCTTTCTAACTACTGTTTGGTTATGAGGTGGGTCACACGACTGCCACGTCAGCAATTAACGTCTGACTTTGACGGTCAATGTAACGGCTGGTGTAAATTGGTAATATTTTCGAAATGTTATATACAAAATTTATTAAAATGAAACTTTGGGGCCCATTTCGATACTGGCACTAAACCTCCATGGACTAAAGTGTAGTTAATCCTTCTTTTTTTTTTTTTTTTTGGTTTGAACCACGAGGTGGTCCTGGATGGGCCCCAACTATGGGTGACACCTTTAAGCCTTAACCACAACCCAGACTAATCCCCGCTCACACCGGGTCGGCCCGTAAGGGGTAAAGTGCTGGCCAAAGTGGTGACTCCATACGAGAGCAAGGATCGAACCCCTGACCTTCTTTGAAATAAGAGTAACGTGCTTGATGAAATGCCTAGAAAAATTGACGTGGCCATATGGTAATATATGTTTCTGCCCCCACAAAGAAAAATCCACAGATCCCCTATTTGTTGAGGGAATTTTGGAATATAAGTTTAATATACAAGTTAAATAATGCCTAGACGAGCTCAGTGATCATATTCATCAACTGCTGCTCCATAGGTCCCACGGCTACTTAGCATTCTGACATCATCACAAATTCACAATGCTTCTTGCAACTGTCTTACTCTTCCCAAGAATCAAGGGTTGTGATTCATCTCCATTCAAAATAGAAGTCCCCGATTCATTGACCTTTATAAACTGAAAAAATTAGCTAAAATAAATACATAACCATTAAATGGTTCAAAAAATTCAAAACTAAACACTTATAATGTTATTTTCTTAATCTTATCAGAATTTTTTTAAAAATTAGGTCGATTTGTTTGGAAAAAATAATTAAACTTAACATAAGAAATAATTAACACAAAAAATTAACACACAAGAAAATTTTACATGGAATCGAGTTAATACAAGAAAACCAAATTTACACATTCCCTCATTGAAGCAAAATTATGATTTACATTCGTCGGAAATGTAAACATGATGTAAAAGTGACTTTACACTCCCAAATTTACGTCTCCCCACTGAAGATGCTCTTAGATCATCAAATTGTAAGTTTATGTTCCTCCATGGCCTTAGGCTTCGCTTAAAACAGAAAGGTGGGGGAAAGACTATAAAATCAAAATGTTCTACATTATGCGTGATCTCTCCTAGCCATAGCTCTAGAATTCCAAATGAACATAAAACGTATCTAAGTACGTACCCCACCTTTGTTTTATTGCTTTTGGATTGGACTTGTCGAATATTATTGACAAGGATATCAATAATGATCACGCCTCACATATGGTTAATTGTAATAATTTAGTATGGTTGAAAATTCCCTATTTTAAAAAGCTTTATCAAATGTTTTTATAAAGAAGAGGGCTCTATTTATTGACTCTTTATTACTTAGCAATGAAGTAACATGACTTGCACATAAATTTTTAGGTGTTATAATTTTTTTTTGGTCTTTGGTTAGGGAGAGGGAGGAGGAGCATTATATTGGATTGTCTCAAGATTATTTCTTACGTGAATCGAACCTGGGTACATTTTGGAGTGAGGGAGAGTTTGACCCACTTTTTCACTGTGGTGCCACTCCATGTGTAAATTTTTATGCGTTATTAAAAGGGTGTTGTTAAATTAACCCTAAAATTAACTTAGTACAGTCTAACAACACCCAATTAAAATTTGAGTTATGCTACAATCAATCATGTATGTTTGCAAATATAATTTTTAGCAGTTCAATTGTTCGGGCAAATGAAGAAAATATTTATTTTTCAGATGTCATCCACCTATATTATGATATATAAACAGATTATGCCACGTGAATATATTTTAATACTATACAATAATTTCTCAAAATTATGAAACTAGTATTTCTCCAGATGGGCCCACTTTGAAGCTGGTATTATATTATTTCTCACCGTGAGCTAATACACTTTAGAGCATCTCCAAGGGAGATGTCAAACACTAAACATCAAATTTAAATTTGATGGCTGATGTGGCAATTTGACATTTTATAGAACTTTACACTCCACCCGATATGTCAAATTAAATTATTATTTTATTACATTTTAGTGTTGATTTATTTTTAATTAAAAAGAAAAGAAAAGAAAAAATAATAAAATATTCATTTGACATCTTTCTTTTGGGATGTCAAAAATAACATCTCAACCTCCAGCCTTCATTCCACATCAGCTTTGACACATCGGTTGGAGTGATATGAGATATTATTTATAGCTGTTAAATGTCTATGTGGCACGTTTGACATATCGGTTGGAGATACTCTTAGTTACCCCGTTATTATTTCCCACGATACAAAGTCGAAAGAAATAGGGTAAAACGTGAAAACACAGCCCAGCCTTCAATGTTGAACGAAATCATTTTATTTTTTCTTTTACCAAAAAAAGCAGAGACTCATTAGCAGAAGAAGAAAGAAAAACCCCATAACATCAACAATCGCCATGAAAAAGCTCTACAACAAGAAAGGCGCAGTCCACCCATCTCCATCGCCAGCCCCCGCAGCCATTCTCACCCTAACCGCAGCCCTCTGCGACGAAGACAAGCAGGTCCTTGCCTACCTCATCTCTCCTGCACCAACAACAACTCAGGCAGCAACATCTGTGGTATTTTTGGGCATTGGTCCCCAAACCAATTTCATAAAAGTAAGCTGTCAGATTTGTTGGAGTATGAAAGCTACATAAAAGAATTGATATCACATATATCATTTTCTTTTCTTTTCCTTTTATTCTGTGATCAATCCCAGCCATCATTACATATCAAATGTGCATGGCCAAAACTAAACTAGATAGATAATAGTGGAACTAGAAGTTGAGGCTTTCGGGGACAATACAACTAATTTTCCAAAACCATGAAAATGAGGCATGTATTTAATCACAAAACTTAGCACCTCCAATTCTGTTGGGAAGTGCTTTAAAAAGCCAAGTCAAGTTTCAAAGGAACTGGTCATTTTCTTGGGCGGTTGGCAACCACATGATATGTTTTACATTAACTCACACAGCTCTCTTCTGCCTCACTCACTTTCCACATTTGGCTTTTTTTTTCGGTGTAGTAGTTGTGAAGGCCAATGCAGTCTTATTTGCTCTCCAAATCTCTAGCTTAAAAGTTGAGCGCCATATCTAATATGATCTTCATGCATGTGAAACAATCCAATCAACATGATGTATAGGAAAGATTTGAATGCCAAATGGATTGAGTTTTGGTTTATGAGTTTCAATAATTTGCCACTAAACATGGCTTCATGCCTAGTTTAATTTCGTTCGTATAGGTAGGTGTATATTTTTCCAACGTTCGTATAGGTAGGTAGACATAAATAATTCGTTAGTGTATACAAAATCCATACACGTCAATGAAAATGATACAACATTTATTGGTACAACAATATATTTGGTCCTCCAGTGCAACTAGCTTGAGTTTGGATTTCTTTTCTCTTTTTTTTCTTTTTTTTTCTCATTAACCGGACTGGGGAGGTTGGGGGGAGAAGTCGAACTTGAATCTCTTCCAACATCAATCAGAAAAATAAATATATCATGCTTTTGGTCAAAATTAGCACTAATTATCTTTCTTAAATTGTCAACTATAATTTTTAAAACTACGTGATTTTTCATCATCAGTCAGAAAATATAAGTGGATGAGTGAGTGAGTGGTTTAATTTTTCTCCGAAATTCGTACAGTACAGTGCAGCCGGGGCCTTCTGTTTGACTTGATTGAATAAATTAGTTTGACATAATATTCTATCTGCAGAAATATCACCTCCACAAATAATTTGATATTTTTTATTTCTGGATCCTATGTATTTTGTCACCAAATATTAATTGCTCCATAGTAATGCAATGACATTAATGGTACATCCATCTCTCGCCAAGCAAATATTTTTTTCTTCTCTCTGTCTAAAAATCTAGAAATCTAGCAATTTAAACTCTCAACAACTTCCCTATACCCCAATGCCTTTTAATTCAAACTTTTGTATTTATGTTCCAACCAATATTATTTATACATGACAAAGCCCCCCTCCTCAATCCATGTCCAAGGTTGTTCTGTTTACACACACGTCTGCGCACAAATAATTAACAAGCCAAACAGCTGAACATGGCAAACTTGCACATTTCATGGCTTCTTCTAGCTCAATGCCTGTTGCTAGTCACCAGAATTACTGCCAAAGTCCCAGCAATCGTCGTGTTCGGGGACTCTTCGGTTGATGCCGGGAACAACAATCAGATTCCCACAATTGCCAGGAGCAACTTTCAGCCTTATGGCCGGGACTTTTCCGGTGGCAAGCCGACTGGGAGGTTCTCCAACGGCAGAGTGCCTACAGATTTCATCTCCCAGGCTCTTGGACTCAGACCATTCATACCTGCCTACTTGGATCCTTCCTATAACATATCAGATTTTGCCATTGGTGTCACCTTTGCTTCTGCTGGGACTGGCTATGATACTGCAACTTCAGATGTGCTGGTAAGTACCAAATATTTAGTATAAAGCTTCTCTGTCTCACACACATTCAAAACTTCATTCCTATAAATTAAATTAATTTAATAATAACTCTTGTATGAAAAATAAAAAATAAAAATAAGATAGCCTTTATCCTTACCTCTTACTCAGCATGTGGTGCTCATATTTGGGCTTGAATATTTATCCTTACCCAATACATGGTGTTCACGTGTTGGTCTTGAATGTTTGACTCCAATATGAACTTGGCTTTACACGTAGCCCATTATATGGTAGTCCCACGTGACGGGGTGTGTTGAAGAATATGAGTCCCACGTCGGAAACTTGACTAAATAAAATACAAAATACAATGAATGGTTCTACTACTAATATAAACGAGGCCCTTTGTGGTACAACCCCATACTTACTGGGCTTTGTAAGTAGCTAAGTTGGGGACAATGTCGATGTTGCTAGTAGTGGGCCGATCACCCATCTTTCTAAAATTTAACAGTAGATTGATATTAGATACTAGCCAATCAGTGTCCATTCCATCAATATCATGTTCAATTTTCCTTTTTTAAAGAAAATCCCAGTTCATCATTTGTCACTGCCTTAATTTGCAGTCTGTGATACCACTATGGAAGCAACTGGAGTACTACAAGGCATACCAGAACAAACTGAGACTTTATCTTGGAGGAAACAAAGCAAACAAAACAATCTATGGAGCTTTGCACATTATGAGCTTAGGCACCAATGACTTCCTGGAAAACTACTACTCATACCCCGGCCGGTCATCCCAATACCCTATCCAACAATACCAAGATTTTCTCATTGGAATTGCAGGAAATTTCATCAAGCAACTCTACCATCTCGGAGCCCGTAAAATCTCCCTCGGTGGTCTGCCTCCGATGGGGTGCTTGCCATTGGAGAGAACCACAAACATCATGGGTGGAAATGACTGCATTGCAGATTACAACAATGTGGCTCTGGAGTTCAATGGCAAGTTGAATGGCTTGACCACAAACCTCAACAAAGAGCTTCCTGGTCTCAAACTTGTGTTTTCAAACCCATATTACATTTTCCTGCAGATGATAAGAAGACCTTCTTTGTATGGTAAGCCAGTGACTTGTATTAAGTGTGCTCTGTTTCAAACGTTTGACCCAAGCCCAACCACTACACAAACTGTAGAGCACCATATTTCTCACTTTAGCATTTAAGTATTCAGTCTTTTGGGTGGTGGATATCATGTGATTTTTATTTGTAGTTTTTATTTTTACTTTTTTCCTCCGGTTTAAGCTAGGGAATTTGTAAACGTATTAAATTATGATTTGTCTGATTAAATTCTCGTGTGACCGACAGGATTTGAGGTGACATCAGTGGCTTGCTGTGCCACAGGGATGTATGAAATGGGGTACACATGCAATCAAAACAACATGTTCACCTGCTCGGATGCAAGCAAATATATATTCTGGGATTCATTTCATCCTACAGAGAAAGCAAACCATATAATCTCTGATTATGTAGTGAAAAACGTACTGGCCCAGTTTCTTTGATTCTCTTTAATTTCAAGACCAATGTATGTGTCCTATGTTTTAGTGTCATCACATATAGTACATTAAGAAATTAAGCCCAATGTTGGTAGAAAAATATGATTTTGGCACTTGGCAGAAAAATGGCATAAAGCCTGTGAACCTTATGATCAAATTGGTGCCTGGGATTTTAGTACTTGTACCCATTTCTTAGTAATCTCGAACTTTTCATTATATAAATTGTTTTTTTTCCCCCACATTTGTATACCCTTCAGGCAACAGCAGGAACATGCTATGTGGAAGAACATTGTGGCAGAGTTGGCTATGAATTTAAGTAATTTTGAATTAAGTACTTGTTATTTGAGGGCCAGAACCTAATTAGGCAACTTGAACTAGGACAATGCCCACACAAGGGTGGACCACACTTGGTGTCATATAATAAGGCAACTATTTATGACACTCAACTCTATTTTATTGATCACTCGTTATTTAAGGATTTCTTGATATTTATTTACGATAAAAGTAAGGTGTTCGATGAAGTGCCTATTAAAAAAAATGAAGTGGATATAGTAATATATTTCTTCCCCCACAAAAAAAAATCCACGGTCTCCTGTTTGTAGACGGAATTTGGAATATAAGTTTCATATTACAAGTTAAATAATGCCAAGACAAACTGAGTGATCATAATCATCAATGATGATTTATTGGTTATGTCTAAATTTAATGATCATCAATGTTCATCCACGGCTTTCTCGAGAAACAGAAAGGTGGGGAAGGACGATAAAATCCAAATGTTCCATATTATGTCAGCCTCTCCTAGCAAGCTCTAGAAAGGTCCAATTGAACATCAAAATTATCCAAGTACGTAACCCCACCTTTGTTTTATTGCTTCTGGACTGGCCGAATATTTTGACAAGGATATCAATAATAATTTATGATATCCCACCGCCATGGTTAATTGTAATAATTTATTTGCTCGAGGTTAGGTCAAAATTCCCTATTTTAGAAAACTTTTTTATTTTTATTTTTAATGAAGACGGTTTTATCGAGGGCTCTTTATTACTTAGCAATGAAGTAACATGACTTGCACATTAAAATTTTAGTTATCTTCTCGCATATAATTTCTAACTGTGAAATTGTTCGGTCAAGATGAAGTGCATATTTAACATGTGAACAGGTAATACAACATGTCCTCTGCCACAGCCAGCACTCTTCCTTGATTTAGTAATTTTCCCTATATCTTCCATGTGATTCCCCAAAGAATTGGTGCAAACTTTGGCCCGCCTTCAACATCGATGAACCCATCTGAAAATCACAATTTTTTATTTATTTTAATTAATCAAATCAGAACATTATTACGTAAAGACGACCGTAAATGCATTCGTTGATCTCTAATCACCGCACATCAACTGGTAATACCACCTACACCAATGGCGTCAGGAGGCTCCAATCTATGGAACCTAGTTGAAACCGCTGCCATTCATCGCCTGAAAGTTATCGAAAGGATCTTGGCCAGATTTGCCATCTATCATTAGTGACCCTACGAGCTTCTACTCCAGTTGTCAACACCAGCAATAGAACCTCTGATGTACAAAACCCATTAGCCTTGTAAGAGCATCCACAATCATGTTTTCTATTTTTTAGTTAAATTTAAGCTAAAAACATATCAAAGTTATTTTAGGAGCTTTCTATCAAATTTAAACTTCAATCATGCTTTCTTGTTTAAGGGGTCATAAATACTATAACTCTTTTTTAATTGGTCTATCTTTATTAAAAAATAATATAAAAATAGTTAGCATTAATTAAAGGTTTGAAATACTTATTAAATAAAGTAGCATATGTTGTCACTAGGAGTTCTTTCTCTCTCCTTAGATTTAGGAGCTCCTAGAGGTCTTCTTATTTTAAAAGGAGGATAGGGAGCATGGTTGGAGTTATATTTTTTCAATTCCTCCCTAAAATTTGTCTAAAGAGGTAATTTAGAGAGCCCATTATGAATGGTTTAACTCGACATCGGAAAATTGTTTTTGTCGTCCCTTCATCTTCTCATCACTCTATTATGAAGACAACCACTCCATAAAGAAAACCTCGAAAATATTGTATTGATATTTTTATTATTAATATTAATAAACATTAGGTAAATTAATAGAGTTTATTTTGTGTTAAGTAAAGTGACACGTGTCACAAAATTAAGAAGAAACAAAAGGGCACAAGAAATTTGATAATAGGAAAATTGGACTCGGATATTGTACACAACATGGTATAAAAATTTGGAATGCTTAGTATTTTCCTATTCCTAATGAAAGTGGAGTCTGCTAATACAATGGGGCACATCTTTATTAAAGAGGTGATATAAAATGCAGTAACCCTGACATTATTCTTTCTCTAGATGGGCCCACTCTGAAGCAAGTATTATACTATTTCTCACCGTGAGCTCCTAAACTTGACTGCCTTATTTCCCACGAAACAAGTCCAAAGAGGTATAAAACGTGAAAACAGAGCCCAGCCTTCAAAGTTGAACGAAATCATTTTATTTTTTCTGTAACCAAAAAATCAGAGCCTCCGTTGGCAGAAGAAGAAAGAAAAACCCCACAACATCAACAGCCGCCATGAAAAAGCTCTACAACAAGAAAGGCAAAGTCCACCCAACTCCATCGCCGCCTTCCATAGCCGATCCTCTGGCTCTGCTCCCCGCAGCCATTCTCACCCTAACCGCAGCCCTATGTGATGAAGACAAGCAGGTCCTCGCCTACCTCATCTCCTGCACCAACAACAACAACAACAACTCAGGCAGCAAATTCTGCACAACCCACGAGCCCAACAGGAGAGGAGGCGAGGCTGGTGGGCCCCGGCCCCACCTGCACCCTCCTCTGTTCCAGTGCGACTGCTTCAGGTGCTACACGAGCTTTTGGGCGCGCTGGGATGCTTCGCCCAATCGCCAGCTGATACATGAGATCATAGAGGCTTATGAGGAGAGGCTGGCGGAGAAGAAGAAGAAGCTGAGGAGCTCAAAGGTGAGGAAGGCAGAGAGAAGGAAGATGAACAAAGTTGGTGATGATGAATTAATTAAAGGCAGCAGGGGAAATGGTCACATGGGTTCTCGGGAATTAGGGCAAGTGATGATGGAGGAGGTGGAGGTGGGCCCAGATGTTGTTGTTGTTGAAATGGACGGTGGTGATTGCTCTGGTGATGATGAAGGCTCTGAAGTTGGGATGGAGAAGGGGACCATGAGGAGGCTGGTGAGTTTCATTGGGGACAGGATTTGGGGTGTTTGGAATAGGGCTTAGTTCTGTCCTCAACACAGATAAGTTCCTAATTACCAAGTTATTTCCCTGTTTCAATTTTTTTTTAATCCCTTTTTGTAAATTACCCATCTCTTGTTAATTTGGGTTTTGGTATTGCTTTTAGTTCTTGTTTTTTTTTCCAAGATAGTTTTACTAGACTGGATATAAATTCCAATCTGGTGATGAATTTTGGATTATTAGAAGGGTGTTCCTCTTGTAAATGATCTGTGTTTCGCTTCATATGTGAGATTGATGATGTATGATTCATCTGCAATAACATTTTTGCAGCATTTATCTTTCTGCATTGAGGTCACTACGTTTTACTTTATGTTTCTGCTTAATTGAGGAGATTATTATTATTTTTTTAATTTTAAGAATATTGCAGGCTGCAGCCATAGTCATAAGTAGCAGAAAAAAAGTGATAGCAATATTTTGTTATTCCGGCCGATCACAGAATGTCAGGTGACAAAGTTATTAAGCATGGCATATCATGATTGGTCGAATATAGCAAAATAATGTTATCTTCTTTCATGTAAGTATTTCTCCATAAGTATATTGTGTTTTAATTTAATAAAATTATCATTAATTTGAAGTTTTTTTAGTCATAAAATAGTTTGATTGTAACTGGGTTGAAGTGGAAATGGTCAAAGGTCAATAATCATCAGCGTTGAATCGATCAACAACTAGTCTAAGGGCAGAAAGATATCACTAGATATTCTAATTCTACGTTTGAAAATGCCAATTTTCTTGGACCATCCATGGTCCAACAAGGTTGTTTCCTCTAATGTTCTCTCTCTCTCTCTCTCTCTCTCTCTCTCTCTCTCTCTCTCAAGTGTGATCAAAATTAATCAAAATGGAAATTAAATTGATGAGAGAAAAGGAGGGGATCTTTCATGGATATTTCTGCATTACTGCCTGGCAAGGAAAAGAATATGCTGTTTTGTATCGACATGTCAATTAGTCTAAGTTTTAGTTAGACTTTTGTTTTTGTCAAATCTTTAATGATCTTTTTTTCCAGGTGTGCTGCTCATTGCACCTATTTAGTAATGCCGTTGTAACTATTAAACTACTAAATATAAGTTCAACTTTCATACCCGGGCACGAACATAAACCATTAACATTGCGGTGGGCTTAGTCTTTTAGGTGTGGAGGTTTGGTGATTGGACTAAGTTAGGAATTAGGTTGTTTTTATAAGAGAGATCTTTTAATTTGGGTCGGATTAGAGCACAACAAAGAGTAGTGAGTTTGGATTAATCGTTACTTGACACAGATACACAAAAATGATATGACCCCCTAAACACGAATAATAAACAAATCGAGTTAGTGTCAAACTTAGTAACTTAATTTTGACACGATAAACACGTTAAACTATTATATAGAGAAAATTATTCATCATTTCAATAACTAGTCTATTATACTATAGGAGAAATGTATAATTGTAAGAGTACTTTTTACAGTTTTGTATGTTTTCATAATTAAGTGAAATTTCGTTTGATAACTAATGTATAAACTATAATTGTTACAGGTTTAATAGGAATAATAGAAACTTACTTTTGAAATTCTTAGCTTGGGGCCAATTCGAATACGAAATGATTATAACTGGCTTAGGTTAACTTTGACACATTCAACATGATCGATTACTAGACCGAATTAAGATTGACTATTTTTGAAAACAAACGCGAACATGAAAGGACACAATATAATATGAACATGACTCCTCACCCCTATTAAATACAACCCCTCCGACCCCTCAATTGGTCATCGATGGTCCCGGAAATTTAGTGAAGCAAAACCCTTGCTGCTTTACGAAGATGAAATGACGATCTTCTTGTGGCTAATTAAGCTTGACTAAAACAGTTGAACTTGACAAATGTAAGTCAAAACAAACCTAAACACACTCAACATGACTTCGGTCATTTTCACGCAGCGTATGTCGTCCTCTATCCGCACCACATTCTTAATCCATGACTGAGCATGCTTAGTTAAATAGACAATACGTAGTTTAGAATATCGCATTGTGAAAACAAAAACAAAAAAAAGAATATTCAAATTTAAGGAAAATTTGGATTTTCTTGGCTAGGTCTGAAAAATATGAAGCCTAAGATCAGTCCATTAAGCCCAGTAGGCCCATAGTCGAACAAAAAACCTTCCCCGGGAATGGTAACACCCCGCCCCAAAATCAACACCAACACTCCTGCAGACGTTATCACACGCCGCCTAACACCTCCACAACTCCATTTCTTCCTTCTTGTTCCACCACTCCGTTGTAGACCATACTCCTCTGAGCCTCTCCAGCAGGCACTTGTAGCCTTCCGATTTGTCGGAAATGATATCACCCCCTAAAGACCAAGGATAAACAAATCGAGTTAGTGTCAAACTTAGTAACTTAATTTTGACACAATAAACACGTTAAACTATTATATAGAGAAAATTATTCATCATTTCAATAAATAGTCTATTATACTGTACGAGAAATGTATAATTGTAAGAGTACTTTTTACTGTTTTGTATGTTTTCATAATTAAGTGAAATTTTGTTTGATAACTAATGTATAAATTATAATTGTTATAGGTTTAATAAGAATAATAGAAACTTACTTTTGAAATTCTTAGCTTGGGGTCAATCCGAATACGAAATGATCATAACTGGTTTAGGTTAATTTTGACACATTCAACATGATTAATTAATGGACCGAATTAAGATTGATAATTTTTTAAAACGAACACGAACATGAAAGGACACAATATGATATAAACATGACTCTTTAACACGAAGTGTCACCCTCGTTAAATACAACCAATCCGACCCCTCGATTGGTCATCGATGATCCTGGAAATTTGGTAAAGCAAAACCCTCGCTGCCTCAACGTCAGATGTTGCATGGTTACAAAGATGAAATGGGGATCATCTTGTGGCTAATTAAGCTTGACTAAAACAGTTGAACTTGACAAATGTAAGTCAAAACAAACCTAAACACACTCAACATGACTTGGGTCCTTTTCACGCAGCGTATGTCGTCCTCTATCCGCACCACATTCTTAATCCATGACTGAACATGCTTAGCAACAAACAAACAACCCTCCCCCGGGAAGGGAACCCCCCCCCCCCCCCAAAAATCAACACCAACGCTCCTGCAGACGTTATCACACGCCGCCTAACACCTCCACAACTCCATTTCTTCCTTCTTGTTCCACCACTCCGTTGTAGACCATACTCCTCTGAGCCTCTCCAGCAGGCACTTGTAGCCTTCCGATTTGTCGGAAATGATATCACCCCCTAAAGACCAAGGATAAACAAATCGAGTTAGTGTCAAACTTAGTAACTTAATTTTGACACAATAAACACGTTAAACTATTATATAGAGAAAATTATTCATCATTTCAATAAATAGTCTATTATACTGTACGAGAAATGTATAATTGTAAGAGTACTTTTTACTGTTTTGTATGTTTTCATAATTAAGTGAAATTTTGTTTGATAACTAATGTATAAATTATAATTGTTATAGGTTTAATAAGAATAATAGAAACTTACTTTTGAAATTCTTAGCTTGGGGTCAATCCGAATACGAAATGATCATAACTGGTTTAGGTTAATTTTGACACATTCAACATGATTAATTAATGGACCGAATTAAGATTGATAATTTTTTAAAACGAACACGAACATGAAAAGACATAATATGATATAAACATGACTCTTTAACACGAAGTGTCACCCTCGTTAAATACAACCAATTCGACCCCTCGATTGGTCATCGATGATCCTGGAAATTTGGTAAAGCAAAACCCTCGCTGCCTCAACGTCAGATGTTGCATGGTTACAAAGATGAAATGGGGATCATCTTGTGGCTAATTAAGCTTGACTAAAACAGTTGAACTTGACAAATGTAAGTCAAAACAAACCTAAACACACTCAACATGACTTGGGTCCTTTTCACGCAGCGTATGTCGTCCTCTATCCGCACCACATTCTTAATCCATGACTGAACATGCTTAGTTAAATAGACAATATGTAGTTTAGAATATCGCATTGTGAAAGAAAAAAAAAAGAATATTCAAATTTAAGGGAAAATTTGGATTTTCTTGGTTGGGTCTGAAAAATATGAAGCCCAAGATCAGTCCATTAAGCCCAGTAGGCCCATAGTCGAACAAAAAACCTTCCCCGGGAATGGTAACACCCCCCCCCCCCAAAAATCAACACCAACGCTCCTGCAGACGTTATCACACGCCGCCTAACACCTCCACAACTCCATTTCTTCCTTCTTGTTCCACCACTCCGTTGTAGACCATACTCCTCTGAGCCTCTCCAGCAGGCACTTGTAGCCTTCTCCACCACTCCGTTGTAGACCATACTCCTCTGAGCCTCTCCAACAAGCACTCGTAGCCTTTCGATTTGTCGGAAATGATATCACCCCCTAAAGACCAAGGATAAACAAATCGAGTTAGTGTCAAACTTAGTAACTTAATTTTGACACAATAAACACGTTAAACTATTATATAGAGAAAATTATTCATCATTTCAATAACTAGTCTATTATATTGTATGTTAAACTATTATATAGAGAAAATTATTCATCATTTCAATAAATAGTCTATTATACTGTACGAGAAATGTATAATTGTAAGAGTACTTTTTACTGTTTTGTATGTTTTCATAATTAAGTGAAATTTTGTTTGATAACTAATGTATAAATTATAATTGTTATAGGTTTAATAAGAATAATAGAAACTTACTTTTGAAATTCTTAGCTTGGGGTCAATCCGAATACGAAATGATCATAACTGGTTTAGGTTAATTTTGACACATTCAACATGATTAATTAATGGACCGAATTAAGATTGATAATTTTTTAAAACGAACACGAACATGAAAAGACATAATATGATATAAACATGACTCTTTAACACGAAGTGTCACCCTCGTTAAATACAACCAATTAATTAAGATTGATAATTTTTTAAAACGAACACGAACATGAAAGGACACAATATGATATAAACATGACTCTTTAACACGAAGTGTCACCCTCGTTAAATACAACCAATCCGACCCCTCGATTGGTCATCGATGATCCTGGAAATTTGGTAAAGCAAAACCCTCGCTGCCTCAACGTCAGATGTTGCATGGTTACAAAGATGAAATGGGGATCATCTTGTGGCTAATTAAGCTTGACTAAAACAGTTGAACTTGACAAATGTAAGTCAAAACAAACCTAAACACACTCAACATGACTTGGGTCCTTTTCACGCAGCGTATGTCGTCCTCTATCCGCACCACATTCTTAATCCATGACTGAGCATGCTTAGTTAAATAGACAATACGTAGTTTAGAATATCGCATTGTGAAAACAAAAACAAAAAAAAGAATATTCAAATTTAAGGAAAATTTGGATTTTCTTGGCTAGGTCTGAAAAATATGAAGCCTAAGATCAGTCCATTAAGCCCAGTAGGCCCATAGTCGAACAAAAAACCTTCCCCGGGAATGGTAACACCCCGCCCCAAAATCAACACCAACACTCCTGCAGACGTTATCACAAGCCGC